TTTCAAACAAATGCAGAAAAGGTGAACAATGCTAATGGATTTGTTTCCAGTGGGATCAGGGCCAGTTAAACTTAACGTGGGCTTTTCGCCATCTGCTTGTATGCCTGAGGTTTCACCTGCTTTGAATTAGGATAATGTAATAAAGTCCAATTAGACTGGGAGAGTACTAATGGGTTTGTTAATTAGATAAAAAAATTATACTTTATGATACTTATGCTAACCGCAGGTTGATGGCTGAGACCATACCCTGTCTTAAAGCACTATCTATTAGCTGTCCTTCTGTCTGTGTCTTATTTAATTTCTATCATGCTGTGTTGGGGCTGTGTAGTCTCTGGCATTCTAGAATTGGGTGCTGTAACTCTTACAGTCTTTGCTGGATCTTCTGTGAAGTTTCGCTCTGTGATTCCAGATGTCCTCAAGGCCCTTTTTTTTTTTTTTTTTTTTTTTAGATTTTATTTATTTATTTGACAGAGCGAGAGAGGGAGCAAAGCAAGGGGAGTGGGAGAGGGAGAAGCATGCTCCCCACTGAGCAGGGAGCCTGATGTGGGGTCCGATGAGGGGCTCTATCCCTGGGCCCTGGGATCCTGAGCCGAGCCGAAGGCGGATTAATGACTGAGCCACCCGGACTTCCCAACCCAGATTGTGGCTCCACCCAGAGAGTCTGATTCCAAAGGTCCCAGTTGGGCCAGAGTATTTGCATTTTTTGCCCATTCCCAGGAGGTCCTGAGCTTGCTGGTCTCTACTGACCTTTCAGAGGTCTTCTCCAGCTCAAGAATTTTGATTCTGTTTTCCTCTATAAAGCATCAAGGGGGGCCTGGTAACATTTCTCAAATGGGTGATGGTGTCTTCCCATTTCTGCCCTCAACTTCACGGGTGTTTTCTCTAATTTCTCCTTCTTTCTCCTGCAGACATCTGCCAGTCACAGGCCTGGGGCCCTGGGTCTCTGCTCCAACAGCTCCCTCCAGCCCCTAAAATACCCTTTACCTGTCAGCACCCAGAGGCCAAGGCACACCCTATTCACAGTGTGCATCCATCCTGGGGAGGATGGTGGCACCCAGTGGCCCTCACTTCTGTAGTCTGAAGTGAGGACTCTTGGAGTTTTTTTGCAGTACACCCCGGAGAGCAGATGGTGCTTACCTAACAGCTCACGTCTCAACTCTGGCTCCGTTGCTTACTGTTTTGGTCACCTTGAAAAAGTCTCTTTACCTCTCTGAGCTGCAACTTTCTCATCTGTTAAATGGGATGAATAATAGTATCCGCAGGATTGTTCTAAGGATTGAGTGGAAACCACGTAAAGTGCTTGACGCAGTACCAGGTACCTAGCAAGCGTTAGGTAGATGTTAACTTTTCTCAGGTGTGGTCAGCAGCAATGTTTAGGTGGGAAAACAAGTTCCTCATGGATTGGAGATGATGATAATACCATTACCCTGCATGAACCAGGCAGCAGGCTTTTGAAATACTACTCATTTCACCATTAAATGGGAAAAAAAGAGAACTTCTTGCTTAAGTTTATTAAAATTTACTTTAATAATAATTAAATTCTCTGTACTTAAAAAGAATGTGAAGCAGCACTACCAGAAAAATGTAAGGGTAAAGCAGAACATGGATTATGATTTCTAAAATAAGTGGATATTCAGTAAGCACATACTTACTATATCTCACAAGCTCTAAGGCAAGCATATTTTTACATTTTAATACCTCTGAAATCTCAGTTAAAGGCATCTTAATAATTTGAAGGGTAGCCATTCTGTTTTGTTTTGTTTTTTAAGATTTTATTTATTTTGAGAGGGAGGGAGGGAGAGAGAGAGAGACCACACAAGCAGGGGGAGGAGCAGAGGGCGAGGGAGAGAGAGAATCTCAAGCAGACTCCACAGGAAGTGTGGAGCCTCACACGGGGCTCAATCCCACAACCCTGACATCATGACCTGAGCCGAAATCAAGAGTCAGATGCTTACCAAACTGAGAGACTCAGGTGCCCCTATTTTGTTTTCTTTAACAGTACATAATATAATCATGTAAAAATCGACAGTGTTTTAGGTTCAGGAAAACATAACACTTTGAGCAAATCAATTTGGTAATTCTATTTTATGGAAATTATTTCTGTGATACTCCCATTTGTTAGCTAAGTCTTGAGAAAAGATTTTATCGAGTCAATCATTGGCTAAAGAAGTACTGGTTTTAAAGAAACATTTTATTTTGGTTTTTGAGGGCAGAAAGGGAAAATGTTGGAGAGAAATATTGGGTGTGTTGAACATTAATGTGCTTTTAATATCAGCAAATTGCAGCTGATGAGGCTATGTTTCCAATGTATACTATTAAACAGTCCTATTTCATTTAAAAATAGTGCTTCTAAGGCTAAATCTATTTCTTCTAGACTTCATCAGATTACTTTGGGTGAATTTGATTTCCAAACATAAGATTTCCAAACACAGGACCTGATTTCCAAACATAAGACCAGTGTGGAAGGATGTAGGCAAAATGTAGATCACAGAGCAGTGGAGACCTGTATTTACATCACAGGGCAATGTTGTAGACTCTTACCCTGGAACAATTGTTCTGGATGGGTATCCTGTCTTTGATGATGATTCCTGAGCACCAGATGTGAAGGAAGATATAAATCCCTCATCATGTGCTGAATTTCCCAATGCCCCACCCCTGAGAGAAGAGCACAGACCGACCTCTCTCTGGCTCTATCCTGGGAATGTGGGTATAGTGACCCTTCTGGAGACTGTGCAGAATGATTAAATGCGGCCTCAGGTGGTGTGTGTGCAGGCATGTGTGTGTGTGTTATATCAGAGAGAAGACTTACAAATTATCAGAGAAAATTTAAAAATAAAAATTTAACTTGGGGTGATGGTTAAGGTCAGGGAGAGTTGTTATTTTGAAACTGCCCTTTTAAACGTTTGATATGCTGGAGACACTAATAATAACATTTTGTCAAACATGCGAAGTTGCGGGAGTGAGAAAGGAGAAGCTGGTGTTAATGGACTGATGATGTGAACTAAAGAAAGAAGGAAAGGAAAAGAGTTTCCTAAGTATGCACACACTGGGTAATTAACCTCCATTAATATGAAGATGTACTCGATTCCTAGGAGATGGCCATGTCTTACAATATTTATGCCTCCAGTGTCTCTCTTCTAATGTGTTCAACAAATGAAAAAGATACCAGATTCATGGATGGGTAAAACTCGAGCTGGAAGAGATGGCTATTTTGTTTGACCCATGTGTTTTACAAATGAGGAGATGGTGTAGGTCCAGAAACAGTTAAGGAATGTATTTGAGATGCTCAGTGGTCGAGACTTTAACGAATTCCTCCCAAATATCTTGATTTGAAGTTCCATGTTTGTCAGAGATGGTTACATAAAAAAGACTGACTTAAACTGAATAACCTGTTGTCTTAGTAGAAGTTTGTTGGGTTTCCATGGAGACCTCCTTTGGCTGGCTTAAGCAGAAATGGGGAATTATTGGAAGGAAGCTGAGAGACATTGCCCAAAATTGCCCAGAACCGAAGGAAACGCTGAGCAAACAGAGCTGCAGTGGGAAGGAACCTGGGTGGCCTCTGGACAGCCCAGCTCATGATCTCCTGCTGCTGCTGCCTCAGCCCTGCTCCCTGGCCACTCTTCTGCCTCTGATCCAGATGTGAGACTTCACAAGGCTGGCCTTACCTTGAGCGTCGTCTGCTCACATGGGCCTTGCTCACCAACCATCCCAACTCTCCCTCTCCTGTGACCCTGTCTTTTCTTCACTGTATGTACCATCACCTACCAGTCTTCCATTTACATGTCTGCCTTTGGAGATTTTCAGATACTGATGCCCAGGCCTAACCCCCAAAGATTCTGACATACCTGATCTGGGCACTATTTTTTAAAGCCCCCACATTGTGTTCTAAGGCACAGACAAGGTTAATAAGAATCGTGGCCTTAACACATTTTTAGACCAAAGACAGAGTGCTCTAACCTGTCTTTGTTGCCCTAACTAACCACTGCTGCTGAAAATATGCTTAAAAGAATTAAGGATTATTAAGGAATAGCGAGGAAGTTACTTGTAGATAACCACACTTGAATGAAATTGACAAGAGCCCTCTCCTCCTGAGTGCCTGCTAGGTGGTCCTTAACAGTGGCCTTACCTACAGTGGCAATATTCTCATTTTCCAAATGACTGAATGGAGACCGAGGGGTTGAAGAACGTCCCAAGGTCGACCAGTAGCTTGGGATTCAAGCTCAGCCTGTACCCACAGTTCTTGGACAAAGGCGACCATTATGCTGAGAGCGCCGAGATCCTGAGGGCCTCTCTCCTGTGTTCCCCTGTGGGACCACACAGGGGCGGTGGTGAGGATCCTCCACCCGTCTGGAGGTTCAAACAGCCAACCATGACACATCTCTGACAGGATGGCGGCTGAGTGTTGGGATACGTTGTCAAGGGAGAACACATCTTTAGTAAAAATGCTAGGCGAGAAAGAGGATCTCAATTATTGCAAGAAAAGCAGAACATGCTGGGCGTTCAAGGCTCATTAATGGAAATGTGAAGAATGTGAGTGAGGGAGAGCCTGAACCTAAAAGTAGTTTAGTTCAAAGAAGAGAAAGAAGTCGTGGGAGTGGGGTGGGGGGATGAAATTTTGAATTTTGTCCATTTTAGGAAATTGAGATGTTGTGTAGTGTTTGGTGAGGAGAATGGGAAACATAAATATGAATGGTCTGTTGCTATAGTGCCTGTCATAAAAATAACGGAATAGAAGAGACTTCACTGGAGAGGCTAGACAGCCTCCCCTCTGCCTGGGTGATTTGGAAATGGACTGCTTTTAATACCCAGGGATGGACAACAGGCCTCTGAGGGTTCTTGAAGAAAGAATCTATAATCCTTTTGGGTTTAACCATTAGGCAAATTTAGCTTCCTGGTTTCAGAAAGAGAAAACACACCCACAAAAAGAAAAACCCAGGCCCGTGGGAACAAGTAACTTCCTCCTCCTGGGGCTGCTTGAAAACCCTAATCTGCCTGTCATGAGTCCCTTTCCTGCTCAGCATGAGGCTGGTTGGGGAGGCATCCAAGAGGCAACGGGGAGTGAGGAGAGAGAGCGCGCCAGCTTGGATAAGTAACTGAATACACTTTGGCTGAGAGGTAGGTTTGGAACGCGGTTCTCAAGGCAAAGAAACTGGTGAGAGGCGCCCTTCTAACTCTGTGTGCTGCTGGGGGAATGAAGGACGTGAGTGACGGCTGAGTGCCCCCTCTTTGCTCCCCTGCCTCTTCTGCCCTTCCGTCTAACACACCTTGAAGCCGAAAAATCGAATTCTTCATTTCTTACTTGCTTGGTGACAAAATCCAAGAAGAGCCAAGGCCAAGTGAAAAAGAAATATCCGCTAACACAGAACTCATTTTCCTGCCAAATATGTCAGTGTGTGCTGTTAAGTCCAGTAAAGCGATTTAGCAGGTTAATTGAGGGGAGCCCCGTGTGAGCTGGGGACAGGTCTGCAGTCTGGGCCACTTAGATTTCAGTAAAGCACACAGAGGGTAAGAATTGAGGTGGAGATGAGGGGGTTCATTAGAAGTTATCTGGGGTACTGTGAAACTTGGAGTGGCTTTAGTTGTGAGTGGAATCCACACTCAAGAAGACTCCGTAGCAATTTTTATTTAACAATTTTGTTTGTGCCAAAGGTTGCAGGAGGTGTTCTTCGCTTAAGTATGATAATGTCACTATAATCTGGCCCTCCTTGTTTTAGGGGACAGGGAGGGAAAACGGGAAGTAACACATTGTTTACTTGTTTTGGGAGAAGCATTCAACAGATGCTATTTCGTTTAATCCTCACAGCAACCCTTGAAGGAGGAATATTATTTACATTTTATAGATGAGTAAAGTGAAAATGAAGTTTAAAAATTGAGTAACTTGGGGCGCCTGGGAGACTCAGTGGGTTAAAGCCTCTGCCTTCAGCTCAGGTCATGATCCCAGGGTCCTGGGATCAAACCCCGCATTGGGCTTTCTGCTCAGCAGGGAGCCTGCTTCCTCCTCTCTCTCTCTCTGCCTGCCTCTCTGCCTACTTGTGATCTGTCTGTCAAATAAGTAAGTAAAATCTTAAAAAAAAAAAAATTGAGTAACTTGCTGATGTTTATATGGCTATTAATAAATAGAGGAACCAGATTGGACCCAGGTTTCCTCATCCCAAAGCCCTTTGCTACTTCACTTCAGAAAAATTCTTTTTTTAATGGAGAGATTTACAGTCCAAATTCTTTGAATGGTCACAGACTCCCAGTTAATGAGAGCATTTTGGTTGTTTTCACGGTCTAGATAGGTCTGAAATTGGAACAGTTTTGGGGACTAACATTTACTGATCACCTATTAAAAACTAAAAAAAATACGGGTAATTAGTCTTACTTAGAGAACTGCTTCTGATTGGGATTTCTAAGTTCAGCTTTAATTCAGTAAATGGTGTTTTATTGCTCACTCAGTAACTGGGTAGTGGTTCTGTGTGAGTTTGGGTGGTGGAAGCAAGGTGTCTACAACAGAATATGGAGTTTCTGCCCTCAAGGAGTCTCTAGTCTAGCAAGGAGAGCTCTACACACATTGACAGACAGGCAATTTAAGAGTTAGGTAACAATATCAAATAGTACTATAAGAGATGTCTTGGGGCTTGCGCCTAAGTTCCAAACTGGAAGAGGAAGAGAAGGATGTGTTCTGAGGGGATCAGGCAAGATGGGGCGAGAGTTAGGGTTTGGAGGGTACACAGGATTTGCTCGTATGGGTAAGAGCCAAGATGCCAATCAAGGCAGGCTCAGGCTGCCATGCCAATACATACCTGTGTCCATCAGGGAGCCTTCCGTTGGGAGTAACACAGGTGCTGGCAAGGTAGACTGTTGCCAGGCTGCTGGGCGCTGCGTGGCAAATTAAATATTTGAGACTTTATCTTGTTGGCATTGGCAGTGGGGCGGATGGCAGTATTAGAGGTGGTGGTGTACCACCAGTAACTAAACCCACATCTAACATTTGTTGAGTGTTTGTTCTGTGGGGTGCTCTATTCAACAAATGAACATTTATAGAACACTCCCAAGTGCCCAGCCCTGTTCTCTGTTCTGGCAATATGCCAGTGTCCAGAATTAATAAAAATCCCTGCTCTCCTGAGAGGAGAGACAGATGATAAAATAGATCTTGTAATCTGAATTCTTGTAATAATGCTGCAGAGAAACGGAAATGGGGAAGTGGGCAGGGTGGGGATGACTGATAGGACATCGCCATTGTAAAACTGAGCCCTGCAGATATGTATTAACTCATTGAAATGGTGAAATGTTAGAAGGTGGTCTGAGGAACGTTGAATAGAGAGGGACACAAAGATGATGTCATTTGCAAAGATGAGCAGGGAGTAGGGGATGGACTGATGCTGTAGGGACTAGTCAGTTTTCCCTAAAATGCTATGATGTTAGTAATTAACATCATGTAGGTTTTCGTAGAGAAAGAAGACTCATGTAGGAAAAACCCCCGGAATACACAGTTTTTCTGATCCACGCCTTTTCCTAAGCTTTGAAACCAAGCACAATGTATATTGCAAAAGGGACAGGGCTTGGTGGGGAGTTGTTTCTGCTGCATAAAGTGTGACATGGAGGTCACAAAGATGACAGAGGTTCTCAGCCTGGGTGAATAGGATGCACAGAAAAAGGAGATTTCATTAAGGAAAATGGAAATTCAACAGAATATCTGTCATGCTGTTTCCATGATTTGAAAATTTATGAGATTAATTGGGGCATCCTCTGGTGTATTCAAACTAAGAGTCAGTGGCTTCTCCTTATAACGGGGTAGGCAAGATGAAGTTCAGGGTGGTGGGTTCCGGTGCCAAGAGACCTTGCCTCTCCTCCACGGTGCCCTGGCCAGCCGCCCCACCCTCAGCTGTCTTTCTGCCTCGCTGCTCAGCCCGACGCCACCCACCTAGTCTGTCTTAACCCGCCATCTGTTGCTGCTCATGTTTTAAAGATTACTGACCCTGACTGATGGTAATTTTTACATGGCCATCCTAGAGCAGAAGAAACACCCCAGAGTTCCATTTGTTGGGTTGTTGGGTCTAAAGAACTTAATACATATTTGTTGTAACAACTTAGTACCATTTGAAAAAACAGTACACACACTGAAAGCAAAAAATATTATTTTTATGTTACTCTTCAATGAACACAAGTGTGTGCTCATTTAAGATGTGTATACCTGTGTCGTGAAGCCTCTCAAGTTTTGGAAATATATTTGGACACCACCACCCTTACTTTCTGTTCCATGTTTATCTTCATATTTCTGTTCCATGTGATACTTCCTTTTTATCACAGTGACCACAGAAAACCCTGTTTCACACAGATACAAAGTTGTTGAAAGGAATACAGTACAATCTAGTGTTGAAAGTGAGCTACCTTGAGCTATTAGCTCTCCTGGTGTCCAACAGATGTCATTATGTTTCCCTTGAAAATCTGAAGTATCCGCAGGCACCCCTTGAGTTTGCTAATGCACCCTGGGTGCTTTGGCACACAGTTTGAGAACTGTGGTACAGGCCTGTTCTCTAGCATCTCTTTATCTTTTCCCCACCCTTATGACACTTCTTGGCCATATCCATTTTAATTAAGAAAGTAACTTTATTTATTTGTTTTTAAGATTTTATTTATTTGAGAGAGAGAAAGAGAGAGAGAAAGAATGAGAGAGAGAGCATGAGAGGAGAGAGGTCAGTGGGAGAAGCAGACTCCCTGCCGAGCAGGGAGCTCGATGTGGGACTCGATCCTGGGACTTCAGGATCATGACCTGAGCCGAAGGCAGTCGCTTAACCAACTGAGCCACCCAGGTGCCCAAGAAAGTAACTTTAGACCCAGCCATGGCCTCATCTCCTCTTTTTCACTTGCCGACTCCAGGCGTGAGCTTAAAGTCACTCTCTCTAGTCCATTCCTGGTATCTTATACCACACTTGATAAGTCATTGCTTTGTCTTCAAGTTTAGTCCAAGGAATTGTTTCCAATTCTTCCTCACATCTTTTGTAAATAAAATCGTGACCTTGTGACCTCTGGTTTTCTGGCTTAGAATCATGGCTTTGAACCAATTCTTTTAACCATGATTCATAAAAGCCTGGCTTTGAACCATCATACTCTACTGACCACAGGCTCACATGGGTGCCAGGCCATAGGGAAGATGGGCTTCCAGTACCTTTAGCTCTCTTAAAAACATTGAGAGTCCACCACAACGCTATGGGGATGAGTGCCGTTACCAGTCCATTCCTATCTGAGGAAACTGAGGCAGGCTGACATCAAGGCATTGTAGCAGGACAGAACATCACATGGATGTTGCTTGTCTCCCAGGTAATGAGAAAGCCCCAGAGGTCACTCTGGGTGGAGGTAACTAGTACAAATGAGTGGCTCGCCATGTTTGATTTTTAATTTTATAGCTTTATTTTTATAAAAGTAGAACTCTGTAGTGTTTTGTTTTGTTTTTTTTTTTAAAGATTTTATTTATTTGTCAGAGAGAGAGAGAAAGATCAAGCACAAGCCAGGGGAGTGGCAGACAGAGGGAGAAGCACACTCCCTGCTGAGCAAGGAGCCGGATGCGGAACTCCATCCCAGGACCCTGGAATTATGACCTGGGAGCCGAGGGCAGATGCTTAACCGACGGGGCCACCCAGGTGTCCCCACTGTAGCTTTTTTTTTTTTTTTTAATTAAGATGTTTATTTTTCTTTATTTTATTTTTTTTAAAGATTTTATTTATTTATTTGACAGAGAGAGATCACAAGTAGACAGAGAGGCAGGCAGAGAGAGAGAGAGGGAAGCAGGCTCCCTGCCGAGCAGAGAGACCAATGCGGGACTCGATCCCAGGACCCTGCGACCACGACCCGAGCTGAAGGCAGCGGCTTAACCCATTGAGCCACCCAGGCGCCCCTAATTAAGATGTTTATTAATTTATTTTAGAGAGAGAGCACACACGAGTGGGGGTGGAAGAGGGGCAGAGGGAGAGAGAAAATATTAAGCAGACTCCCCACGGAGCACGGAGCCCTATGAGGGGCTCTATCCCACAACCCTGAGATCATGACCTCAACGGAAATCAAAAGTTGATGCTTAACTGACTGCGCCACTCAGGCAACCCAACACTAGCTTTTTGTAGACATTTTGTCAATGG